GTCGCTTGGTCACACAACACTGGCTCACGATGCCAGCACAAGTCAATAGCGCTAAAGGAGTCTGCTGGGAGCAAAGAGCGAAGGGAAATGTATTTTGGAGGATTTTTTTGGATATCCTGTCAGAGATTGTGGCACAAGGAAAGAGCGCCTCGGGCTATTTTGCGCTAAGCGGGTCCGGCTGTTCCTTCCTTCTGTGTCAGGTGTTTCGCCTGTCGGCCAACCACGGCCTTCATGAGGATCTGATAAGCCGTGTCCATCCTCATTTGGTCCGTCCCTCACCTGGCGTCGCAACCACTCTTTTGTTCTGACTGGCCGCTGCCATGGCCACACATGACGGTGTGCCCTTCACTCCGGAATTGCGTGCGGTGTCCAAACCAACTTAGCCGAGCAAGTCACCGACGTCCGAGGATACAGAACGACGTCCTGCTTAGACTGTCCGCTGTGTACAGCATCCTGCCTTGCCTGGCCCTTTGAACCGTGTTCGGATTCCATTATGGATTCGGTTTTATACAGCCCTCGGCCTTGTGAATACCCGATTGTTGAGCAGCATACGTAACGACTAGCAGAAGTCCCTAGTGGCAGGGATATGGAGTACATGGAGCAGGAAAAGTGAGCCGTGTTGGTGCTGCAGACTTATCAATCAGCTTGGGATCAGCACCATGTGCAGCCCTCCTAATGCCTTTTCGTGCCGTGCCAGCAGTCAACGACAATGCCGCGCTGCTCTTCTCCCCGAGCCAACGGAATCCAGAACCTTGGTTCCATTGCCATCCAAGCCCTCCGTTCGTCTGGTTCGCGAACGGCAGCCACTCGGTTGCCTTCTTAGACCAAAACTCGGTCCAGCTCCAAGGTCATCCAGCAACTCGCCGTCTTAATATGCCCCCGACATCCAACGTTTGTCTCCACGCGTGGGCCAAGCTTCTTCTTCCATCCCCACACTCGTCTATTGCGACAGGGCAACATTGCGCCCTCCAAAATCCCACTTACCTTCTCCAACTTCATACATGTCCAGACAGTTTCTTCAACACAGCCAGCCATCATCTCATCTGCCAGCAACGCCACAATGGGTTCAGTACTAAATGTGCCAGACGCTCCAACCGTCAGAGTGTTCATTGCGGGAGGTTCGTATGCTGGCCTGTCCGTGGCCGCCAATCTTCTTGACCTCGGACAAGGTCTCTCGCCACGCATGTTCCAGCAGGAATACCAACATCACCCCAACCTTCCCCGCGTAAACTGGGACATTACCATTGCTGATGAGAGAGATGGCTTTTGTAAGTAGACTTTGTAAAATGAGAGCAATCGCAACGCCCGCGCCTAACATTGGGAGTCAGATCACTTGATTGGGTCTCCGCTTGCCCTGGCTGACGCAGAGTATGCCAAGAAGGTCTGGATTAAATTCCAAGACCTCCCTGGTCTACAGAATCCCCAGATCAAGTTCATCCAGGCCTCTGTATCAAGTGTAGATTGTGAGGCGAAAACAGCCATTACAATTGACAGCACCACCAAGGTTGCCAGCACATACGAGTATGACTATTTCGTTGCTGCTACCGGTCTCCGGAGAGTGTGGCCTGTCGTGCCTCAATCTCTGACGAGAAAGCAGTATCTTCTTGAAGTCGAGGAGCATATTCATTCAGTTGCCAGCGCCCAGCACGGCGTAGTTGTTGTTGGAGGTGGAGCGGTCGGCATCGAGATGGCAGCTGAGCTCAAGCTAGTCAAGCCTGATGTCAAGGTTACTCTCATTCACTCCCTAGACAGGCTTTTGTCATCAGAGCATCTCTCAGACGAGTGCAAGGACAAGGCCTTGGAGCTACTTAGGGAAGCCGGCGTTGATGTTTTGATGAACCATCGACTCGCATCTACCAGAGAGGTTGAGACCGCCAACGGGCCACCCAAGTATGAGCTCGAGTTTACTAATGGGCACAAAATTGCTGCCAGTAAGGTTATTATGGCTGTGTCCAAGAGCAAGTCAACGGCGACTTATCTTCCTTCATCGGCAATTGATGAGGAAGGCTATGTTAAAATCGAGAACAAGTTCGTTTTTTCTACCTCACATTTGGCAACGGAATAAAATACAACCCGCCTTGTCGTATTGACGCATCACTAACACGGTATGAACCCAGTTGCACTTTCTCCCCTGGCACCCCGAATGCTGAATTCCACCTCTGCGCCGGAGACTTGACCAAGTGGTCGGGCATTAAGCGCTGCGGTTGGGCCATGCACAGCGGCCACTATGCCGCTCAGAACATTCACAAATTTGTCCAGAAGAAGCATGTACGTCAGGAACCCAAGTTCGCAGAGCTCCAAGAAGTGCCCCCCATGATTGGATTGGCGGTGGGAAAGAAAGCCGTTGCTTCGGGGCCGGAAGGCACCGTCTTTGGAGAGGATGTCATGCAGGCCTATTTCAAGCACGATCTTGGATTTACGAGTAAGCGGATTACGGTTTCCAAAGGAGTGAAGTTTGTCCTAGCTAATATCTGAAAACAGTTTGCTGGGACTGGATGGGTCTCGCTGGACGGAAGGAGGATGAGACCGACTGAGAATGGCATTAGCAGAGATGGCACTTTGCAATTTAACAAGATGGTACAAACGGAATATAAAAATTAGATATTAGGCGTTGGCTGTTTATGCCCGCGGCGCAGTTCAGGATCTACAGGAGGAATCCTCTATTATACGAAAAGAGACGAAATAATGCATACATCGTTCACCTGTGCTGTCCAAAAGCAGGTAAAGCCCATCGCAACAAGCCAAGCAAGGAAGAATATTCCAACTCAACCTGCCATGCATTGATTTTGAATTGGTCCACCGCAACACCTCTTGTGGACTCCCTAAGTTTTGGGCCTCTGGTCACTCCCGCCCAGAGCATTGTCATTGCCTCACGGCGTCAAAAATAACATTTAATGACTCATCAAATCGGAATATACTCAGGTCGCCCATCTTAAACTCGACAATGGCTTCAAGTCTTGAGCCGCCCCCGCCAGCTGCCATAATGTTAGAAATTCTGCCACGTACGCCAAGCCGCTTCTGCCGAGGCCCGATATTGGCTTGGCTATTTGTACAATTATTGCCGAGTTTGGCGCATAATGCGGCATAACTTGCTAGAGACGGGGACAAGTATAGAAAAAAGCCGGATTATGACAAGGGTCTTCCTACGAGAACACCGCTGCAGAGTGTTTAGAACTCGGCGCCTCCATGTTGGATCATTGCCGGTTATTATAATGCCGCTTACTCCCGAGCGATTTCATGAACGAATCAGAATCTGAAACGGCATCATGCAAGAGATGCAGCCGCACATCGGTTGGGTTTCAACGTTGCAAAGTCAAACGCGACTGTGAAGACGCCGTCGGTACTCGTCCATCATAGTCTAAGCCAAGTTCGTTATCTCGGAACCATGCCCAAGGAGGCTCTCTGATCTAGTTACCTAGCCTGAGGATCAGCCTGAGAGCTGCAACCTCCGTAAGAGTGATATCTCCAGTCGTTTCCATCTCCATATCACACTTCTCCTCCACCTTGCCTAGATGCCGGATCTAGTCTTTTGTCGAACCTCAAGAGTCAATAGTCTCTATCGGCTCCGCTGACAGACATCTGGGTATTACTGGCCCCTTTTCCACTTTTCTCACCTGCCATGTTCCTAACTAGAGTTTGTTGTTTTGAGCTAATTGAAGAATAATTCAGGAAAAGCAGGCCACACTCGTCCACAAAAACTAATCCACAGTGACACTTCTGGTACTCATGTTTTGATGGGAGAAGAACCTCTCTGGATGTGCGTGCAGCTAAGGGCCCCAGGGCATTCATCATATATCAAAAACCAAAACGCCACGAGAAAAAAAAACGCGTCATCTCGACTTGGACACCCAAGTGCGTTACATACGTGCGTGGTGCACAAATCAGAAACCGGACGAGTAGCTCAATAACGTTATCAGATCCGCCCAGCCCCTCTTGCTTTTTAGCCGGCGCGGCAAAAATAAATTGAACCAATCAGTATACATCAATCAGAAGATGTGGAGCCCCGAGCCCAGGCCGGGTTTCGCCGTACTTGCCGTTGTTGCTGTCCGGGCGCCGGCTAGACTTGTCTCCATTCCAAGATTGTAAAGGACGGCCAAGCCCCAGCCAAGGGTCTGCCTCAAAAAGCAAGAAATTCCTCTTCTTCCATCCCCGGCTCCAGTACAGGTCCATCAAGATTTGCGGCGGGGAACAGCTTCCCATGTTCATCCCTTGTTGCCCTCGGTGCGAGGTATCGTTACAAGTTGGTGGCGTCGCTTTTGCAACATCACTTGTGTATGCATGTCTTTGTACTCTATTTACATGGGCAAGATTAAGCACTAGGCAAATACATCTAGGCCTCCGCCAACCCTGTCGGAGGGAGCTATTGGCTATACGGCATTGCAGCTGGGCTACCAGGGGACGTCTTGGAGGCTTCAGAGCAGAAAGGGGGAGGGGGGTGCGTGGTATATCTTCACTCGCATGATCGTATTATCCATCATCTCCTCGACAACCTCGACGCCGTGCCGGGACTAGCTTCTGAGTGTAGAAGCAAGACGGCAAGTCTGTCATTGAACGCTGTAGCTCACGGATACAGCGGGATTACGTGTGATATGTGGCACCGAGTACGCGTCAACGGGTTGGTATGTACTCACAAGTGTCAGTCTTGTATCCCACGCTTTCATGAGCTGGATGTGGGATCTAACAGGGCCCCGCCAGGGCCCAGCAAGTTTCAGCAGCTTCTTCCACATGGCAAAAGTGTCTGTTTAGGTCCAGGACTTTTCCCTACGCCTTGGCCGCCGAGGGAGATCGATCTCTTCGCGACGCCAGATGGGACAATGGACAAAGATGTGACTGGCGGTGTTTTTGTTACCGAAGCTTGCCGCTCTCTCCTCGGCCTAGACCTCTCTTCTGTCGTATGTTCAAAACTGCCCATCTGCCACATGCTAAGCAGGCCTGCGGCGCTTAACGTGAGATATTCGTCTCTATAGCCAGTCCCTCTCATCACCGGCGCTCCCTCCACAATGGCAGCGGCGAATTCAGTAGTTCGGCTCTCGGCTCTGTCTCCAAACGAGACCTTCATCAAGCTCCCTCACCCGTACTTGACCGAGTACACTGTTCAGAAGACAACAGCGCCGCCAAATAAAGCAGCCGGAGATGTGCCCCTTTTCCAGCTCCGCGAGCGTCCCGACTCGTCGACGCAGAAACTCTCAGCCCCGTTGCACAACACAAAGCTCTACTTCTCCGAGCCCGCGGACCTAAAGTCCAGTGAACTGCCTGCGGATTCCAACAATAGCGCCTGGGCTAGAGCGAGACGCTCGCCATTCTCCGTGGTCGTCTGGGACGGCGCCGAGACGCCTTCCCTCGCGCAAGCATGGCTGCTCTTATACGTCTTGTTCACGGCCGGGCCGGGCATGGAGTCGGTACGGTTGGAGCTCGTTGGCGCCAACGCCGCGACTCTGGGTGCCCAGTTGCGCGATGTTCTGCTGGCCATTGACCACCCACTGCCTGCCAGAGAGAAGCGCCCGTCGGTTTCCAACGAGAACGAATACCTTGTGCTGGCTCTACGAAGCACATTCTGGCAAGGCGCCGGCTCTCCCTTTGGTCCCCGACCCGTGTGGTTGCCCGCCGAGTCGCCTCTGTCTCTCCACGGAGCCAAGTCGCTGGCGTCGTATCCTCTTACTCCTCTCCAGCACACGGTTACCATTACATCCGCCGGCGATCCCCAAGATGCCGACAGGTGCCAGCAGTCGTGGCATCCTATTCGCCCCGCGAAGCCTGCTCCTGGCGCCGTCATGTCCAGCCGATGGATTCCGCACCTAAAGGAAACCTTCTCAATGGTGTCGCTGGACTACCAAGACGAACAACACTTGAGGCTGTTCCACGAGTGGCAGAACGACCCTCGTGTTTCGCAGGGCTGGAACGAAACGGGCACTCTGGACCAGCACAGGGAGTACCTGCGCAACATTCACCAAGATCCCCATCAAGTCGCTCTTCTGGCCAAGTGGGATGATGCCTACTTTGCCTACTTCGAAGTGTACTGGGCCAAGGTAAGTTTCAAAGAAGGATTGTCGAGTGCAAAGCCGTCGTGGAGATGCGTCGCTAACACGATGGACGATGCTCTACAGGAGGACCGCCTCGGCGGCTACTATGATGCGGGCGACTTTGACCGCGGCCGTCACTCCCTCGTTGGCGATATTCGGTTCCGCGGCCCTCACCGTGTGACTGCCTGGTGGAGCAGCTTGATGCATTACCTCTTCCTGGATGACCCTCGTACCATGAATGTCGTGGGTGAGCCCAAGAACACCAACTCGACTGTTGTCATGTACGACCTCATCCACGGCTTCGGCATCGAGCACTTTGTCGATTTGCCTCACAAGCGAAGCGCTTTTGTGCGATGCCCGCGCAATCGATTCTTCCAGCTGTGTCCGCTCGGGGAGAGCGACAAGGCCGTTGGTGGTATGAGAATCGGCCTGGTTCCAAAGTTGTAGGACTACAAATCCCACACAAGACTTTGACATGGCTAGTGTTTGTTTCAAATATATATATATATATATATGTTTTGGTTCGAATCCCTGCAGCAAGTGGAAGCAATGTGGACTGAACGTGATGGTGAAAAGAGTATACATGTATATAATGTTTTGACCTCTGAATATATCTAGTTCTTTGCAAGTCTTGTTGTGAAAACACCTTTCGTCTCTTTGAACCGTGTTTGACTCTAGACCAAGTAACAAAACAAACAAACAAACAAACATGCATACATTCTTTATTGTTCTCCGTCCTATCTGTTTGCCAAATGCCAGCATTGCCTGCGGCGGCCCTTTCTCTACAACTTTGATGTCTGCCATCTCTTGACCAAAATCTCACTACCCAATGCCGCCATCTCAAACTTCCTCACTTTCCCGCTGCCAGTCAACGGCACGTCGCAAGGAACCCCGTCTTGGCCCAGCCAGAAAATGTGCGCAGGGGACTTGTGTTTGCCCAACGTGTTGCGGACCCAATCGCGCAACTCCAGGTCTGTCGGCCGAGGGCTGCTTTCGAGTCTCTCGACAAAGGCGCCGACGACTTCGCCATAGTGCTCGTCTTTGAGTCCGACCACGATGGCCCGGGAGACTGACGGGTGCGCCATGAGCCGCTCCTCGATTTCAAGAGGGTAGATGTTCTCTCCGCCTGGGTTTCACACCGCGGCTTGTATTAGTGGCAGTGTTGAAAAAGGGAAAAAAACGCGGGCATTCGTCCTTCTGGTGCTCACCTCGAATTATGATATCCTTGAATCGCCCAGTAATGGTGCAATATCCATTCTCGTCAAAGACAGCCTCGTCGCCCGTGTGCAGCCACAGAAGCCCTGCCGCATCCCGAACCATGACCTCGTTGGTCTTTTCTGAATTATTCCAGTATCCGGCCTGGAGCTGGTATCCCGCCATGCAGAGCTCTCCCCTTGTGCCCACGGGCACAATGCTGCCGTCACGGTCGACAATCTTTGCCTGGGCGTGCGGCATCAGGGTGCCGACCGTGGTCAGTCTCGTGTCCATGGCGTCGTCGGTGAAGGCGTTGAAGCAGGTCGGCGAGGCCTCTGTCAGGCCGTAGCTGCTGGTGAACTCTGTCATGCCGAACCTGTCGACCAGAAGCTCCATCAAGTATCGCGGGACGGGCGCTCCAGCAATGATTCCGGTCCGCAGCTTGTCGCAGTTGAACCCGGGCGGGAACTCGGCCTGGAATAGAGAGTCGAACATGGCCGGAACTCCGTGCACAGCCGTGCAGCCTTCGTCGGAGATGGCTTGGAGAGTAGAGGGGATGTCAAAGACTTCAGCCGGATACACAATCTTGCCACCGTGCGTGACCATGGCCAAAAGGCCGAGGACCAGCCCGAAGCAGTGGAACATGGGGGGAGGACAGCAAAGGATATCCTCCGACGTGATCCTCATCCTGTCGCCGATGAAGCGGGAGTTGTTGACCAGATTGCTACCCGGCCATCATCGTCAGCTTCTCTTTGCGTGTTTTGATAATCTGCAAGACTTACTGGTGAGTGAGCATGGCAGCCTTTGGGAGACCCGTCGTGCCACTTGTAAACTGCAGGTTGACGACCTGATGTGGCAGCACTCGCTGCATAGATCTGTACAAGTTGTCGCAGCTCTTGCGACTGGTCGATTTGATGAGGGACTCATACGTTGGGTGTTTTCCTGCTTCGCCTCGCAGGATGAAGACCTTGGGCCCGTCCGTTTTGTTGTCCAGCGCAGCAAGAAGCTTTCGGTTGTCCAACCGGCCGATTGTCTGCGTGGTAAAGAATACCTTGCAGTCGGAAAACTCCAGGCCGTACATGGCCTCGGTAGGCGTGTAGGTGTTGTTCAGAATGACGAGGATGGCGCCGATTTTGGCCACTGCGAAGAAGACGGCAGCGTACTGCTCGCAGTTCCCGGCCATGATGCCCACGCGGTCTCCAACCCCGATTCCCATGTCCAACAGGGCTTGTGCCAGGGAGGAACTCTGTTGGTTCAACTCGTTGTACGTCCACCGTGCTCCGGTCCAGGGAATGACGATGCACTCTTGAGTTCCATGCTGGTACGTTTGGAGCTGGAGAAGCTCCCCAAGAGTCAAGTCGACGAGGGGAGGCTCGAGGGGACCATGCAGGACTGACAACTTTTGCGTAGCTGGCCGAGTCTGCGGTTGCAGCTCCGTCATGACTGGCTGTGTAGACATTTTCATGTGACAATGTTGTGGTCTTTTTCGCCTTTTTTCCCTTTATTTTTTCTTTTCCTTTTTTATATCTGTGTGTGTGTTTTGGTTCTTTACAGTGATACTTGGCAGCAGGGCCTGGTCTACCACGGCCAACACGATGCAATCGATATTTCGACACTACAAGGAGTAAACGAGTATATTAGGCATAATGGGCTGAGAAGCAACAGCGTAAACCTGTTCAAGGAGGCCCACAACAAAACAGTCACAAAAGCCGACTGACGACATCTGTCGAGCTACCCCGGTTGGATGGCGAGTTGTGCATGGGCATAAAATCGTACATGGCCCAGCATCCAAGTGCTCAGACGGCTAAGCAACAGGTCACATCCCTAGTCCTGAAGCCAAACGAGCCATGGCTCCATTCACTCAAGCCGTTTGAAATTAGGAAGGTTAAGCCGGACTCGGCGGTTAGTACATGTCGTTGAAAACCTCTCCCCCTTGCCCGCAGGCAGAGTCTGAGGGTTGCCGATGTGGATAGGCCAAGTGCGCCGAAAGTCGGCCGGTAAGCCATCTTATCTGATCATCAGATTAGATGGCGCGCTCTAGACTCTCAGGGAAGGCGCGAAGGGGGGGCGTGTCTGTGCTCTATGCCGGCAGGATCAGCTGTGGACTCTCCGCCCCTGGCGCCGGCTGTATTATCACAGGAAGGCAGACCTTGGTTTGAATTCCAAGGAACAAGTCAAGAAAGCGGAAAACACGTTGGGAATTGCTATGAGGATTAAACCCTAAAACCGCGGTGTTTCCAACCCTGGTCCGTGGCCCTGTCCACCATCACGCAGGTCGGGCCCACCACCACCAAGAGTTGGATAAGCAAATTCCCCGACTTGACCAGTATAATATGCGGCAATTGTTGCTCTTGCGCTGACGTATGTACTAGTTTGCGGACGCAAAAGCAGGGTGTGGCATCATCCCTGTGCCGCCAGTGCCGGCTTTACGCGATCTGCCCCTCCGGCTCAGAGATACTGCAGACTTGGGATTCATCGTGCCCAGTCTTGTTCTAAGGCCACCTTGTCACGAAAGAAAAAAAGGAGGAAAAAAAGTAAAAAAAAAGCCACATGGGCGTGTGGCCAGGGACGGGCTCCGCAAGCAGGCTTCGTCGTCCTCAGCCGCTTTAACCAACTCGGCCTATCAATCTGCCCGCCTCGGCAGCAGCAGCTCGCGGCGAGAAATTCGAGCGCATATCAGATGCTAAGAAAGAATGGCCTTTGGCTCAACAATAGTCTTTTTTTAGCCTCATCTCCACCAAGAATGGTGTTCAGACTGTCAGACATAAGGAAATGTTTGTCGATGTTTTGGTTCTCGGCTGCCCATCAGAATGAAATGCAACCCACGTTTCATCGCATCAACCTGCCGCAACCTAATCTTGTGTTACCATCCTACGCCCTCCGTCGCCAGGGGTTTGCATCAAGAGAGGAATGCAGCCCAGCCTGTTATTTCATCGTCTTCACGTGGGGAGAGGCCTGTCTGATCTCGAAATTATCCATCCCCACCCCGAAATGCTAATCACCGTCTCTGCCAAGCAAACACCATCTCCCCTACCGTACTCCGCTCACGGCAGGGGTCAAAAGGAAAAGAAGGGTTCTGCGATCCAGTGGTTTATTCAAACACCGAGTCATGGACGTGTCTCACTCATGTACTCTCAAGTCACTTCCACCACCACGTACCCCTGCTCGCAGCGTGCCCCTCAGACCAAGAAACTCGCGAGAAATATGCCAATGGGTGTCGTTTAACGCTTTTCCCGCTCGCTGGTGGATCCTATCCTAGTTTTGGATGATAATGGCAATCCAGCTGAGAATCGTGAATTCTTGCCGCATTGGACAGACAGGCTCCGAGACGGAAGGAATCATGTGTTCTACGAGGTCCAAGTAAATGGATCCGCGGTGCTGGGCCGCAAGTTCATAATACGTAGCTTAAAAAAGAGGCCTTGACGTACTTTTGAAGAGCCCAGTTGAGCGTTCCCGTTTTGGTGTATGAATCTCTGCGCCTTGTGAGACTGTTCTGCTTCAGCCCTGGAGTAGCTCGGGTTTTCTGTGTTTCTCTTTTTGCAGTAATGAAGTCCTTTATATTAGACGCCTTTTCAAGTCTTTGGGCTTTCTCGAAGCGGCGGAAACAACGAAAAAATGGCGTTGCTTGTGATGCCAGTACAGGAATAGCTCCGCTTGCAGCACCGCATCATGCCGCCGCAAATCCTGATATAAACGCCCCCAACAAGTCGGAACCTGTAAGCGACGAAAAAAAGGGCCTTTGCGATCGAGACTTGGATCAAATATGGACTTGGAATAGGGAGCTTCCTCCTCTGATACAAAGATGCATGCACGACATCATTCATCAAGTCTCGCAACAACAGCCACACGCCGTGGCCGTTGCATCATGGGACGGGACTCTTACATACCAGGGGATTGATGTGCTGTCAACACAGTTAGCCCAGCAACTGAGACGACGGGGGGTTTCTGTTGGAACCAGAATACCACTTTGCTTCGAAAAGTCCATGTGGGCAGTCGTGTCCCTCCTGGGAGTCATGAAAGCCGGCGCCACATTCTCTTTGACTGATCCAAGTCAACCAGAAGCTAGACTTCGGACGATTGTGGACCAGACAGAAGCTGAAGTCATAGTCACCTCGGTAGCTCAACGGGAACTTGGAGTAAAGATTTCCCGGAACGAGAAAGTCATATCAGTCTCTCGCGACTATTTCGACCAGATTTCCGAGCAGCCGGGAGAGTCACTACCACTGGTTCCTTCTCCTTCTCCCATGTACATCATCTTCACTTCAGGGAGTACGGGCAAACCGAAAGGCGTGGTGATATCGCACGAGAACTACACGAGCGGCGCTTTGCCGCGAGCTGAAGCCGTGGGGTACAAGTCACACTCCAGGGTCTTCGACTTTCCCTCCTACGCATTCGACGTAAGCATTGACTGCATGCTTTGCACTCTTGCTCACGGCGGGACAGTATGTGTGCCCTCCGAAGCCGACAGAATGAACGATCTCAGTGGCGCTATCCGCAAAAGCAAGGCAAATATGGTCCATATGACCCCGTCGGTGGCCAGAGTCTTGGACGCGGATATTATTCCTTCTTTGGATGTTTTAGGCCTTGGCGGCGAAGCCGTTTCATCAAGTGATGCCGCCGCATGGAGTCAGGACACCAGCTTGGTCATTGCCTATGGACCGTCAGAGTGCACTGTTGGCTGTACCATCAACAACACCTTGGCGATATCAAGAGGCATAGGCAAGGGGGTTGGCGGCACAACTTGGATCACTGACCCCGAAGACCACAACGTCTTAGTGGGAGTTGGGGAAGTTGGGGAGCTTCTTATAGAGGGTCCTGTTGTAGGCATCGGATACCTTGGGGAGCCAGACAGGACGGCAGAAGTTTTCATCGAGAACCCAACGTGGTTAACCGCCGGACACGGAGACCGCAGCGGCCGCAAGGGTCGACTCTACAAAACAGGCGATCTTGTACGATATGAATCAAACAATCTGGGCTCGATAGAGTTTGTCGGACGCAAAGATCAACAAGTCAAGATCAGGGGCCAGCGAGTCGAGTTGACAGAGGTCGAGCACCACCTTCAAAGTTGCTTACCGAGACGCATCAAGATTGCAGCCGAAGTAGTCAAGCCGGGGAGCAGCGGGGCGCCGACATTGGTTGCCTTTATTGCAGAGCCTTCCTCCGGTTCGGACAAGGCGGCGGATGAGTTTCCTCTGGTTGAGCCGTCAGAAAAATTGGCTGCCGCCCTATCTACCGTGGACAAGGACATGGGCGCGAAGGTGCCGAGATACATGGTGCCTACAGCATTCTTCACTCTGCAATCAATGCCGACACTGGTGTCTGGGAAGACGGACAGAAAGAAGTTGCGAGAAATCGCGGCGTCCATTCCGCGGGAGAGGTTTTCCGGAGCTCAAAACGGCACCGCTCAAGTTGAGCAAGAGCCTCAGACGGAGACGGAGAAGGAGCTGGCAGACGCATGGAAGAAGGTCCTTGGCCCCGACGTCAAAGTAAACAGAAGCAGCAATTTCTTTGGCGTGGGGGGAGACTCTCTCCGTGCGATGCGCCTTGTGGCCGCAGCAAGAGAGAACGGGCTGTCTCTCACCGTGGCAGGCATCTTTATGAATCCGACCCTTGAAGCCATGTCGTCCAAAGCAACAGGAATCTTACTTTCTGACTCAAATGCGGACAAGACAGCTCCTTTCTCGCTCCTTGACACGGATTGGTCTACTGACTCGGTCCGGCAGGAGACGGCCGCGTTGTGCAACATTGAAGTAGATGCCATTGACGACGTGTATCCTTGTACACCCTTACAGGAGGCCCTCATGGCACTATCAGCCAAGGTGAAAGAGGCTTACATTGCCCAGCGCGTCGTTGAACTTGCGGATACGGGGACGGCTACCAAACTCATCACGGCCTTTGACACTGCTCAAAGGGGCTGCCCTATCCTGCGGACAAGAATCGTTCAAGTTCCCGGCAGAGGCCTCTTCCAGGTCGTCGTAAAAGGCAAACTGAGCTATTTTTCCGGAACGGACCTGAACGAGTATCTCGTATCTGATCGAGATGAGGCGATGGGTCTGGGACAGCCTCTTGTCCGGTACGCGGTCATTAACGACGGCAAAACCGGCAAGACTAACTTCGTGTTGACCATGCACCATGCCTTGTACGATGGCTGGTGCATGCCACTTATCGTTGATCGGGTCAACAAGGCGTACATGGGCCAGACACTTGAGCGGCCAGCCGAGTTCAGGCATTTTATCAAGCATCTTTGCGGCACCAACAAGAAGGACTCCGAGCAATACTGGAGACAGCAATTGCAAGGGGCAAATGGTCTCCAGTTCCCCTCCCATCCATATACGGGATACCAAGCCAAGGCAGACTCGCTGCTCGAGGAGTACGTTTCCTTGGACAAGCTTCCCGCCTCCAACGCAACGGTTGCCACCGTCATCCGAGCTGCGTGGGCACTTGTCGCCTCTCGGTACATCAACAGCGAGGACGTCGTCTTTGGTGAGACCTTGACCGGCAGGAACGCCGCCATTGTTGGTGCGGAAGAGATTGAAGGCCCAATGATTACCACGGTTCCGGTCCGTGTACAAGTTGATCGGGAGATGCCTATTGCTGAATATCTCCAGACTATCCAGGAACAAACCATTGAGCAGATTCCCCACGAGCACTTTGGTCTGCAGCACATTCGGCGGCTTAGCCCGGATGCCCTTGAGGCATGTGAGCTCAAAACAGGTCTGGTCCTACATCCCGGTACTGCGAATGATGCAGCAGCCGAGGTTGATTTGCCCGCGAACCGGTTGGTGCCAGCCGGTGATTCTGAGGCAGCGCAGGAGGCTCTCAAATTCAATACCTATTCTCTCATGCTGGTGTGCTCTATTGATCCAGATGGTTTCCTCGTCATGGCAAGCTTTGATTCCAAAACAATTAACTCTGACACCATGCAGAGAGCCTTGAGCCAGTTCAAGAAGGCGGCGCAATTGCTATGCCAAGGCACGTCTGGCCGCGTTGGTGATCTCGAGTACCTCACCCCCGACGACGTGGGTATTTTGAAAACCATGTCCGCCTCGGCCACAAAAGACGCCAAGTTGCGCCAATATACAGGCGCTGAAGGAGCCTTCATTGTTGAGCCCCAGGATATCAACAAGCTGCTTCCCGTGGGCGCTATTGGAGAGGTTGTTGTACAAACGTCGGCAGTGCTGGAATTGCCATCCATCCCGGCACCCTCTTGGCTCAGCGAGATTAGTGATTCTGCCTCAAAAACAGCGGCAAACTTCTACAAGACGGGCAAGCTGGCGAAATACACCGCCGATGGCCTCCTTCAATTTATAGAGTTGAGCCCAACCCAGAACATCAATGGCACAACAACCCAGGCCCCTGTGAAGCGAGTATCCGCGACGTCTCGTCGTCAACGGAAGCTCCGAAGCTTATGGAGTCGCGTCCTGAACATCAAGGAGGACGATATCAGCTTGAACGATAATTTCTTTCTCGTAGGCGGCGACTCCATCGCCGCTATGAAACTTGTCTCGGAAGCCCGCGCAGAAGGTGTCAAACTAACCGTCGTACAAATGTTCCAGAAACGTACTTTATACGACATGGCAAATGTCATGGAAGAGGTGGCCATGGATACCAGTGCAAGTGAGGATGTTGTTGCTGCATTTTCTCTCTTGGAAGACGTCGACGCATCGGAATTTGTCGAAACTGTGGTTCGGCCGCGGCTGGAAAACAAGGAATCCAATATTCTGAATGTTGTTCCAACACGTCCGCTCCAGCAAATAGCCGTAAAGGGAACTACCCAGCTACCTCGGTATTCTGCTCGCTACGAGCTCATGTACTTTGATGACGCCATTGATAGGCAACAACTCAGACATGCGTGCGAAGAACTTGTGTCTCGCAATGAGATTCTGCGGACCGTGTTTATCAAACACAACGGCAAGTGTTATGGCGCGGTCCTCGAGTCTCTGGAAGCAGAATTCGTCGTCCACAGCGTGGACAGCAGTTATTCTGGCAGCATCGAGGAATACGCGAGGAATGTGTGCCAGTCAGACGTCCTGTCAGACATGCCGCTCGGTTCCAGCTTTGTCAAATGGTTCCTTGTTGAGTTCCCCAACGGCAAGTCCTGCTTGGCCTTCAGGCTCTCCCACGCGCAGTACGACGAGATATGTCTCCCCATTCTTCTGAGGCAGCTCTCTGCACTCTACGAAAACAGGCCAGTCCAGGAATCTGTTCCCTTCTCGTCCTATGTCGGACACGTGCTCCGGCATAATATTCCTCAAAGCACACAGTACTGGAAAGACCTGCTCGCCGGCTCAGCCATGTCCATCCTGAAGCCCGACATCCCAGTTCAGAAGAGTAACCATTTTGCTGTCCAGCACACGGTGGATATATCGTCCAGACCTAGAGACGTCACTGTTGCGACTTTGCCGACTGCAGCCTGGGCGCTGTGCCTGAGTCGTCGCTTGTCTCTCCGAGACGTCACATTCGGTGAGGTGGTGAGTGGTCGAAACATTGATTTCCCCAATGCCGATGCCGTTACGGGGCCATGCTGGCAATACGTCCCAGTACGCGTCAAGTTCGATCCATCATGGACTGTGTCGGATCTGTTGGCCTACATCCAGCACCAGCACGTCGCGTCGTCGGCCCACGAAGGCATGGGCCTCAGCGAAATCAGGGACCAATGCACCGACTGGCCCGACGCGACGCCAGACTGGTTCGATTCCGTCGTCCACCAGGACGTAGCGCATGTTGAAAAGTTACCGTTTGCAAAGGTAAGCAGTCGCATAGAGACAGTGTATCCGCATGAAGAGCCGCTGCGGGAGTGGAAGATTCAGGCTTTCATTGATGGGGACACTATGATATTGGAGATTGTCACAGTGGACAGCTGGGCCGAGTATGCCAAGGAGTTGTTGATGGATTTGGCTGATGTGGCGCGATTCTTGATACGTGAGCCAAGGGGAAGACTATTCTAAGTCTTGCCTTTTTTTTTTTTTTTTGGTGTCTTTTTTTTTTGGTGTCTTTCTCGTTCTTCTTGGCATTATTTGGCACGCCATGGTTTGACTCGGCGCTGCACGACTACACGAATTAAGCCTATTTACTACGTATTCAACACTTACGAAGCCACGTCATCACGCAAAACTGGAAACTTCGGTTTGTCGTAGCACCTTTCTCGTGTACATTGATGAATGTGCGGCCCGAACAGCCGTGTTGAATGAGAAAAACAAAGTTGTGGTGCTGTTGTGAATTGGCTTATTATTATCTGTACGTCTTAAATGATTGACAGTTTACCACGAACCCCTGAAACCCCGAATAATTTCCATGCAAGGGTATATTGCAAATGGAGAAATACGTATGCCCGTCCTGCGCCAAGCCAACGTGAAATAGTAAATGCAATACGCCGATGTCCATGTGTCATAAGAAACTCCGGGTCCCACCCAGTTCCATTTGCAGTTCATCGTCACACATTCCTTCTCCCATAATATCGTAAGTTTGTGTGATTTCTGAAGGTGCATTCAGGCATCTCCCATGCCGGCCATGACACCAATTCCAAGCGCTCTTTGTAGACTGCGGCGAATACCTTTGCCAGCACCGGCTTCATCATCCTTGTCGCGACCCAAGAGGCCGAAGCTCATGCGTCTTGTTACGTTTCCAGTATTGTCAGTGGCGGAGGATGGTGCTGCCTTCTTTTTCTTTCGGCTCGCTGGCATCGGATCAGGCACCGAGCATCGCGGAGGCCACTCGCCATCTCGTTTCCATCCGGCCACGCAAGATCGCAACATGTCTGACAAGTTGATGGGGCATGCCGGCTGCAGATTGTGCAAAATCACCTTGTCATAGAGACTCAAATAGACCGCTGGCGAAATAGAAGCTCGCAGAGGGTTTGTAGGCGGAAGAAGAGGCTGTCCAACTGGCAGCAGCGTTTCAACAGGGTAAGTCTGGAACCTGGTAGAGTCCGATACGGACGAGTCGGTGCTTTGGTGTTTTTTCAGGTCCTTTTCAGCGTCCTTTGAGGCTGATGACGAGTCGGATACCGCACCACAGCATTCTCCGTGCTGGGAGAGAACAGCCGCCGCCGAATTGGGTGGCGATCCGGACATGGAGCGACGAAAGAAGAATCGTCTTGGTGATCGCGGCGATGCTGGAGGTGTGGCTACAGGCTTACTTCGAACACGGACCGTCTTGGCGCCAGTCCAAGCATTCCGCCTTGCTTCAAAACAGGCGAGTCCCTCGTTCCAGGCAATCTCTTCCCGCAGGGCACGCCGTCTGCGAGCCTTCTTTGCCCGGACAATGTCCTGAATGGTGGATTGGATAGAGTCGGGTTTATCAAAGCGAAACGGCGGGGGCTTGGGTGCCGTATCCTCATCGTCGGACAGATCCGATGTCCATTCAATCCGAGGACGATAATGAATCGCATCTTCTGACATTATACTGTATACAGACCCTGCGCCGTCGTTGTCGTCGTCGTCGTCGATGGCATTGCCATCTCCAGCATCGGACTCTGCCTCATCTAGCTCAGTGCCTTCTCCTCCTCGATATCCATCTTCTTCGCTCGCAGGGGCCTGAGACCCTCCCCTTTTCTTTGACGAGATGGCCTCATTTGAGGGCTCGACAGAGACTCCTGGGCCGTCGGGTCCCGATGACGCAACATTTTCCTCTGAAACGGCAGGCGGCCAAGGAAAGGTCCAGTCGCTGCGGACCTTGTCAGTCAAGTAGCGCTTCACGGCCTCCTTTTGTTTGGTTTTATCTTTGCTCAGGAGATCCGCATACTCATCGGCTCGCCATTCAGGTGCTGCGGTGGGCAGCTGAGCTGGTAGCTGCGGGTGGTGCAGGCGAAGCTTGGACAGTGGTGAGCGTGGACTTCTGCAAAAGTCGGGGAAGATCATGGCTGAGGGCTTTGTCAATTCAAGGGAGACTGATTCCGATGGTGAGGCAGCAGTGCGTCGCTCTTTGTCTTTGTCTTGCGACAGCGCAGGAGACGGTATGGTGTCCTCGCGCTCTATATTCGGTAAAAAAAAAAAATTCAAGGTCAGTCAGTTGGTGCCCAAAGCGGCAATCAAGACAGCGCGTGGCCAGTGGTAAGTGCGAGAAGAAGAAGAAGAAGAAGAAGAGTGAAGACGTTAAGAAGGATAATTGTAGCACAGAGAGAGAAAGACAACAAGGGCGGCTAAGAAGGCGCCTGTGAGCTGTGGCGGCCAAACTGGCCAAGTCAAAGCAGCAAATTTAGAACCCGAACATACTACATGAAAAGCAGGATCAGCCGTGTTCTCAAACTCGCTGCCGCTTGGTCGGCTCAAAGAAGCCGTATGTTGATGCTCGTTTCGAGTGCCTCTTGTTTCACTGGCGACTCGATAGCAGTGAAACAACAGTCTGCGCTCCAGGAGATTGGAAAATAACAAGGCCGGCGATGGTCAAGAGTGACGTTTGGAAAATGGAGCACTCGTTGTGCCGCCCCGGCACCGCGTGATGGCCAGTTGACTGTCTATGGTGGCGAGACCAGTAGTTGGCTCATCTCGTGGTTGCACTCGCAGGGGGGACAGACAGTGTAAGAGAGGAGGGCAGGGCTGGACAGAACAAGGTATAAAGCCCACGAAGGCGACGAGGATGGGAAAGTAGCTTGTTGGGAACTAGATCTGCGGTCTGTTGCGGTGAAGTGACACGACACGGCACAGCACGGCAGAGCGAGTAGATGGAGCGGGCCAAACTGGGCGCGATGAAGCTTGGGATGAGGGTCCAGGATGTCTGTGATGAGAGCACTTGCGCCGAGTGCTACAGTGTACTCCGTCGAGCCGTCTGGTGGTGTGAGTGCTGGTGAGTGCTGGTGAGGTAGACGCCACAGTGCGGAGTCGGTGGTCAAGCCCGTGGGCAGAAACAGCAAACGAGCGTGGGAATCAGGCAGGGAGGGAGGATGTGAAAATGCAAGGTCAAGAAATAGAATAAGATGAGGCATTGAAACTCGACTTACCCGACTGGACCATGACGGGTGTTGCCTTGGCCGGTTCTGGCTCAGATGGTGTTGAATCGTTGCTGGCGGCCAGTGCTTCTCTTGACATGTTTGCGTGGCGGCCGATGGTTTTCGCCACAAATCGATTGTCACTTTTTGGAAAAACGGCAATACAGGCTGGCGGGATCATGGATGGCAGCAACTGGCGCACAAGGGGGCTGCTTGTCACGTCCCCAGTCCTGGGTCTTGCTGTCTGGTCCTTTCTGGTCGTTCAAGTCGAGGTGTCTGGTGCGTCTAAGCGGAACAAAAACCGTGTCACTGCAACATCAGGCGGGCAGGACCACAGCGCGAACATTGAAGTGCGTGAGACAGAAGATGCCGCCAGGGCCAAGGCAGGGCGTGTGACCTTGGGGCAAACAAGCAAGACGGAAAAGTCGATGCAGAGCCTTGGGAAGAGGCTCGCATTGAAGCGTGGGAATTTAATTGTTGGACAGAGGGCGGATGTGCCAGCCGAGGCGATGGGCCAAATGGGCCAGCAACTCAAAAGTGAGGGCAGGGCGTGGGCAGAGAGAAGCCAAACGGCCGTCGTCGTCGTCTGTTGTCTTCTCTGCCGCCGCCACCCAAGAAGCTCTACGAGACGAACGGCGTGTAGCGTTGACAAGACGGCTGGCAAAAACCAACATTGAATTTGAGAAGAAAAAAAAATGACACCTCGAGGCCATGGCCGAGTCAAGTCTAGTCGGTATTGAAGAGGGCCAGGGGTCCCACAACCGCCAAAAAGTCTGGTGGGGTTGACCGTTGAGGCGCCGCCAGGCCCTTGGAATCTGCAATTGATACTCCGTAGTACGGACTCCGTACTCCGTACTGAGGGCAACTGCACCTCGGACACGATCAAGCCGACGACGGGCAATATGGACAATAGGTATGACTTTTTTTCAACGCCAGATGCACGTCGGAAGCTGGGCGGACAAGGCGTCAGGAAATAGTGGAGTCGCGGCCAGCCACCAACCACCTCATATGTTCGAGGTCGTGTGACTGACTGACTAATTGCGCTGGTGAACGACACCAATCGGATAGTCGGCGCCGTGTCTATTCGAAGGCCTGACTCCCTTGGGCTGCAGGTTCAACTGGTGGCAGCACTTGAGCTGCATTCGGCCACGCGCCCATGCACTAACCACCCAACTTGGACCGGTGTGCAGTGCCCAGTTGAACTCATATCATGCCGTGGCCCAGACCTATATCGGAGTCCTCGAGTGCTAAGCGTGCAGGACCAGTTGACATGTCGTGGGTATAAGCCGGCCACCAGAGACATCAATTGATGCCAACTCGCGTCGACGACCCACCACGATGCAAGACGGGCGCCGATGCGCAGAATCATGTCTCAGCTACCTAATACCAGGCTGGAACGCCTGGGCGGGCATGCATGGGTTCGCAAGTTCGGTCCAGATGTCGACCCCCACGTGTAGCCTCGCAAAGGGCAGGGCATGGTTTCGACATTTTCAATTGATAATTATGTGGTTGCATGTATCGAGGATGCACAAAACCAAGCTACCTAGTACTCCGTAGGTACTTAGTAGTATGCAATATGCCTGGCGTTTTTTTTTTTTTTTTTTTTTTAAATACCAATACTCTGCCAGATAGTGTTACACTTTAAAGGGCACTAATTATAACGATAATGTATATATACAAGTCTATGTCTAGCTATAAAAGAGAGAATTATATATACTCTTTTTATAAGTGCGCTTATTATTAGAGTTATTTACTTATAGTTAAGAGTTTACTCTTATTTAATTAAGCGTATGTAATTTATACTTATATTAAGTAACTTATTTTAATATACCCTTTAATTAAGCCTATTATTAAAGCTATTATAAGTATTATTTTTCTTATTTAAATACTTACTTAAGCGTTAAAAGTATAATTATAAGCTTAATTACGTATACCTTACCTTTTCTTAACGTTTTAACTAATATAATCTTTTATTAATTAAGAGTTATTTTATTAACCTTTTATTTATTAAGGTAAGTTAAATATAAGCTATACGTTCTTATTAATTATATTTATTTTACTTTTATACGCGTAGCTTATTAGTATTATTAGCTTCTTTTTTCTTTATTATATATTACTTCTTTAATTATAATTA